ATGTCACTGAAGAGGGCAAATCCTCTGGTTTTTTGAGAGCCCCCCTCCCCAGCACCTCTGTTTGCCAAGGCTGTGGCACTGTCCAAGCTGAAATGTGTCCTCACACAGTAGGTAAGAACAGCAGTCAGATCCCAGATCTGGGCTGGATGCAGGTATAAGGGAAAGGGCTTGAATATTTAATGCTGAGATTTTCAAACTCAGAGCAATTCAAGCCTGGCCTGACCTCAGGCCTGGGCAGTGTTTGTCTTCTCTGGCCAGAAGGGCAGTCTCTTTCCAGCCTGCTCCTGTCCGTGGTTGTCTCCCACCCAGGACAGTGGAGAGGGTACCACTAGGAGCCTTGAAGTGAAGTCATCCTTCAGCCCTTCTGAGTCCCAGGTTAGAAACTAACCCTTCCTTTCCCGGAATTGTGCCCAATCCCATACTCTGTAGCAATACGGTAGACACCTGCCCTGGTATCCCTCTCTAGCTATTGCCTGTATTGTGGAAGGACTCCAGTCCGAGCAGGACCTCGCACTGTCCCCGCAGATCAGAACAATGGCCTTTTTTCCCCATTGCTGAATGGATGCTCAATGAGACCATACTCCTAAGTGAAATAAGCTGGACACACATGTTTAAATACCACGTTGCTTCTCTGCTGTGAGAAACTGAAAGTGTAAATAAGGATCAAAAAGCATGTAAATATTGGGAAATAGGAAGAAAATGTTGAAATGGCAAGGTGAACAAGGCAGGGGGTAAGAGGTTTTTTTTTTTTTACACTAAATACACTGCGGTTTAATTTTTTTGTGACATTTCAGTAATTCTCAGTTGTCTTAATCCGTAGAATTTATCTTTTTTAAATCTAAATCAAACCCATATGGTCAATTACAACAATGACAAAAAAGTTAAGAGATATAACAAACTGTACAATGCTACAAACTAGTGGTTGTTTGTGTTTATATGTATATACAAGCATATACACATATATACACATACACATAATTTTAATGTTAATCAAGTGGTTCTAGAAAATTAATACACAACAAAAATCCCCAGAATGGTAATGCTTATAAAATATGGCCATGCTGATGATGATCTGAAATCAGCCCTAGATGAAATTCTTAATAACGAAGGCAAAGGTCAAGACGAAGAAATTCTTTCCAGGTTGGCCATTTTTTCCTTCTTGTTTTCCTCCCACATTTGTCCTTTCGTTGTCCACATTAAACATCTTTGTGTGTTCAAGCCTGCCTCTGTGTCGTCACGTGACCAGATCCCTTCTGAGCGAAGTCAAACTACCAACCCTCGATGATACCAGTTCACCTACTTCTGAGGAAATCATGGAACAATGAAGAAAAATCATCCATGTGTCAGTTCATACCATGTACCTGTAATTCCAGAGAAAAGGTCCTAGATCCTTCCAGGGCTGATATGTTAGCTTTGGCTTTTGAAAAATATTGTGCTTGCAAGTGTGATCCCTGTCACTGCATATTTTTAAATATTAAATAGGTCTTGAGAGCATTAAAATAATTATTTGAAATCCATGAGGAGATGTGTCTAGTGATTTGAGATCCTCTTTTTTTTTAGTACCTGTATGCAATGTATCATGTTTACATTCCTTGTGGGAGTTGATAAATATACACAACACATCTTAATTCCTATTTTCATCCCCTTTCCCTCTACTCTCTCCCTCTTCTACTTCTTAGTCCCTTTGTTTTAAGCTCAGAAATGTCTTTGTGTTTCTTTTCTTTTTTTTTTTTTTGCTTCCACAATTCTCTTCCTTCTATTTTTGTCACATTGAAACAATTGGCTGTTGTCATGGAAACAAACAATATGACAAATTTAGTTCTGTAGCAAGGAGGGTGAAAACTGCTGAAAAGCACAACCTTCAGGAAAAGTGGGAGCTGAAATTATTATTTGTATATTATTCCAGTGCTAATTTGGAAGATAATCCCCACTTTCTAACTTTGTTTTATACTTTTATGGAATTCATAAATATAATATTGAGCTTATTTAATTCAAGTCATTTCAAGTAAGGTCATTTCACAGCAGCCATTTCTAACTGCAAGTCCTAAAATTTAGGAGAAGAATATGTGGAAAAGGATATATTTAGGCAAAAAGAAAAAGTACACTAAAAAAATTATAGACTAGCTGTTGGAGTATCAATTATTAAAGGAAATAAAAACAAACAAGCCAAACAAAAAGTTCAGTTACTGAACCAAACCAAAGAAACAAATAACTTGAAATTGCAATGTTGTATTCTTTCAGTACAGAAAATATAAAAATGTATGGCTATTTAAGTAGGAAATAATAGCTAAAGAAGATTTTTTGAAAGAGAATTAGCTTTGAGTAGTTGCAGGAAAAAGGCAGTGTGTTCTTAAAAATAAGTATTCTTTTTGCTTTTTCTTTTTCCTAGTTTGGTGGGTAGAACCTAGGGCCTCACAAATGCCAGGCAAACACTCTATCACTGAGCTAAATTTTCAGCAGAAATAAATACTCTGGGTTTCAGTAAAATATGTAGCTAATTTCCTTCCAAATGGGATATCCTGTCAGGAGAGTTATTTATAATAATTTATAATAATATAGAACTAGAATTTTCCATTTAGGCTTACACTATGGTGGAATTTTCAGGTCTTGTTTTATTTATTTTTACCTCTGAATTTAGCCATATATAATAGATTTTGTCTGCTATTTCTTCTTCATTCATCTTCATTTGTATGCTGAACTTTGCTTAAGTAAATAGCTTAAAATATTCATTTTTACTCTTTGAGTCAAGTAAAATAGTAGCCTTCAAAATTCTTTATATATCATTTGAATAACACACAACAAAAATTTTAACATTTGCATAAACATACAAAAATTCTTGGCAAAATTATGCAGAAGAAGCAGACAGTTTCATGGTTATGTTACACTGTGGCCTAGACCCTAGAAAAGGTAACCAATATAAAGTGCTCTGTAGATTTATCTTACATTTAAAATATGGGAAATGAAGGTTTACAGGAAGGCATCTGTGCCTCTGATTAATTTTTAGTTTCCATATTTTTCCATTTGGGTTGTGTTTTTTTTTAATGAAAGAGCCAAAATTTCATAGTAAACATTTTTGATTAGCAAGAACAAGTGGTGTGTTTTCTTTTGATGACTAATTGCTTTTACATTTTTCAGAATTGGTGGTTTTTAGTTTCATTAATGTTAATCAATGTCGAAAGTTTCACTTCTACTTTTTTCTTTTTTCTTTTTCTTTTTGGTATTGGAAATCAAACTCAAGACCTTGCACTTTCCAGGCAAGCATAGGGCCACTGAGCTAAATCCCTGCCCACTCCTTTTTCACTTCTACTTTTTTAACTACATAAGAAAAATCAAAGTTTCTCTAGAAAAGACTGATGGAGGTTTGCAAGTAATATAAAATTATTGTAGTTTTTGTAAATCATATCCAAAAGCTTAGCTTATTTGAGAGGAAAAGATTATGGAAAGGAAATAAAGATATTTGTGATCAGTGGACTATGTCATAAGGTAGACTGAAATGTGATAAAATTTTGGGATTTCATCACTTTCTGGTGTAAAATTCTGGGATTTAGACACATTTTTTCCTTTGGAAAAAAACCTCTTCAAATTTAGATGCCACTCTTATCCTGGAAGATCTTGCACTCTGATTTGATATATCACGACAACATTGATAGGAACCAAATATAATTCTGAAGTTTTATTTCATAAATCTGTTCCACTGACAGAACGGGACATAAAGCTCAGAAAGAAGAAATGATCAAATTTAAACAAGTCCAGATTATTAGTCACTTTTCTGTCAGTGGGATACAGTACCCACCACACACAAAGTATGAGAGATTTAATTTGGCTCATGGTTTCAGGCGATCCAGCCCATGGTGAGGCGGCTCCAACACAACGTCATGTTGGAAGGCCATGGTGGAGAAAAGATATTCATTGGTTGGGAAGCACAGCAGAAGAATATTGCCAGAGAAAGGAGGGTAATCAGGCCTCCAATCTGTAATCTGCCCAAACATTCAATTAAGAACCAAAGCAAAGACAAATGAGGGAGCAGCCTAGGGATCTCACCATTCAGACAGACGATTCCATTCATTTGCCTTCCTTCTGTTGTTCCTGTTCTGGTTTCGAACAATCCATGCTGGTGAGCTGGCCTCTAAGCCCTAGAAAGGGAACCTCGGAAATCCCGGGGGTGCACCTCTTCCCTTCCATGGAGGTGGACAGCCACTCTCTCCTGCAGGACTCGGGTCGAGGCCCAACATGGGCCGTGTCAGCCCTTTCCCTCCCGGCCAACGCACCAAATGTTATGGAAGGAATCAGTAAGTGACAGACAGAGAGGCAGCAGAATGGAAGTCAGATAACAAATTTACTCGTCAATGAGGGTTGATCGCACATAAACCATGCCTGGACTGACCCTCATCAATGAGTAAATTTGTAATCTGACTTCCATTCTGCTGCCTCTCTCTCTCTGTGTCACTTACTGATTCCTTCCATAACATGAGTTATCAGAGAAATTCATTTTCTTCTTATGACTGTCAGGCTCAGTTGGACAAGTCTACACTTAAATATGCTTAAGTTAACCAGTTTTTAGAAAAAAAATGAATCTCCTTTAGGAAATTTAAATATGGAAAAAATCATATTTCTCAGATAATCATATGATTGGTTTGCATGGGAGTAATAAAATCTTGTGTCTGGAACATACGGACTGATGTAGTTTAAGAGCTTGGCTGAACTTTATTCTCTGTCTGATAGACATTCATTTGTGTTTAGAGAAGTCATGTAAATTTAGGTCAGATGTAACACACATAGCTAAATTTATCAGTAAATGTAAAAAAATTCATACAGCTTTAAAATTATAAAACTGTATTCTATTTAGAGGATTTAAAAAAATTATTCTTCTCCATTGTACCTTTTTGCAAAACTATCTTAGCCATATATATATAT